ATAGAAAGGTTAAGCTTACCTCTACACTCTAATGGATTAGACCATCAAGTCGAGTCCACTAGTTGTGACAAGAGAGTAAGCCTATAGATATTGGCCTCTTTTGGCAAACAGGTTAAAAGTTATTTTTTTACATGTTCTTTTAAAAAAAATCAAATAAAATCAAAAAATTAATTTTTAACGTACTTTTCAAAACAAACCATTGTCTCACATAATTTTCATTAAGTTATTAGTTGTGAACACTAAACGAATCATTAATATAATTTGCCCAAAAAATTAATAATAATTAAATAATTCGAGCTTGACTCATGATCAACTCTTTAAATATACGACCAAAATCAACTTATCATATAAAAAGACAAGTTTAAACATATTTTGAAACTCTTTTGTTGTTTGAGTATAGCCGATAATCTTTAGGAAGAAAAGATTTTAGTTAAAAAATGTAAATAAATTCATATAAAAAAAATTAAAGATTCCTCCCATTCTCTCTACTTTTTTTTTGGGGGGGTAAAAAAAAACAAAAAGCCACTCTTAAACACTTCAAAAATTTCCATTTCATATTTTAGTCGAACAGTTATTAAAAAAATTCATTTTCCAAAATAGAAAGGTTAAGCTTACCTCTACACTCTAATGGATTAGACCATCAAGTCGAGTCCACTAGTTGTGACAAGAGAGTAAGCCTATAGATATTGGCCTCTTTTGGCAAACAGGTTAAAAGTTATTTTTTTACATGTTCTTTTAAAAAAAATCAAATAAAATCAAAAAATTAATTTTTAACGTAATTTTCAAAACAACCCATTGTCTCACATAATTTTCATTACGTTATTAGTTGTGAACACTAAACAATATCACATGATATTCTAGACTTTTTAAATAATTATCCGAAAATATTATGCAATAACTTAAATTGGTGTTGTTTGGTGTAGTTTGTAGAGTTGTTCATAACTTTTTATTTATTTATTCGAGAGTTTGTATTAGTCTGTTAGTACAATTTTCTCTGATTATAACTAGTGGATCTGAAGTAACTTAAAATGTAAAATGTAATAATAATTATCTTAAATTTGAAAAAAGGTGATTAACTTCTATTTTTTTATTATAACCTTTCAACTTGAAGAAAAAAATAAATAAAAAGTGACATGGGTCCACCATGTGACCTATTATAGTGGATGAAAAAGTATTTTATGTAATATGTATGTCATGTGGTTAAGACGATATGGTTTCACATTTTTACTAATTAATTGACATTTAGTAAAAAATAGGACCGAGATTTAATATGCCCTAACACTCAACATTTCAAACTGAGCAAAAAGTGAATTCTCAAGACTAATTTACCGAATCCGTTATATAAAATACTTCGAGTAAATTGACTTCGGATAAATTGTACTCCCCCAAGGTTTGTAAAAAATAACCTCCCTTCTAAAAATAAAATTAATGTGAAAGCGGTCAAAATTAATGCAAATGTGCATAAACACTAAAATAAATAAAAATAAATATATATTTTAATAAAAAATATAACAACATCAGTTATGAATTATTAATGGAAAAACTTAACTATTATGTAAATTAGAATGTAAATATATATATAAATATATATAATTAATTACATATTTTTACAAACCCGAGGGAGGAGAGTTTAATTAAGCCAAGTTTAGCATGTCATAAAAAAGTTAAAAAGTCAAAAAATTACTCAAAAAGTTATCACTATTCACAAAAAAAAATTTAAAATTTAATTTTATCATTATTCACCAACACATCAATCTAACGAAATCAGATCTGTGATGCGGTTGTATAACAAAAATTGCACAGTTGGGGTGTGGTTGTTTAACACACTGCTGTTCGGTCCGTGGGGACCCATCCCGAGTCCCGTTTTGATAATCTGAACCGTTCAATGTGTAGAAATTATCGAGTGCTATATATTTATAAAAAGTTACATTGATCGAACATCGATAACTATATGATCAAATCAATTTTGTATAAAAAATAAAGGTGTTATAATTAACGGTTGGGAAAAAAATAAATCTGATCAGATAGCTATCGATATCCGATTAACGTAATTTTTTACAGGCATATAGTACTCAACGAGTTCTATACATTGAACGACTCAGATTATCAAAACGGGACCCGTGATGCCCCCACGAGCCGAACAACAACGTCTAGTGCAACGCCCAAAAGTAGACAATTACTCTTACCATCTATTCCCCCTTTACAGGCCTGACAGTCGTACAACTCACCCTCAAATCTTCTCATACACTCTAACTACACACTAATTTATATAATTTTTTAATACATATTTTTTTATATAAAGTCAAAAAGTTAACCTAAATAATTATATTTTTTTCCTTAATTTTTTAATTTAAAAATCAAAAAGTATACTTATTTAAGACATGACAAACAACTCCGTAGTCCTGTTATAGACCCCACTATCTCCACACATTTGTGTAAGAGAGAAAAAAAAAAATCAAAATGAGTAATCACCAACCAATTAAAAGTCATGAAAGTCACAAAATTTGAGCGACTCAAGTAATTTTGAAAGTTTAATTTATCCAAAATATTTTCTAAACGGCGGAGATGCGCCCACATAACAGAATGTTGAACGTGTAACAGGTAGGAGGAGGTGTAATGTCAGCTAGTGGTTGTTAATTAAAATCCTAAATAACAATAAAAAAAAAAGTCGTACCACATGAATCATGATTCATGATATATTTAAAAGCAACGTGATTTAATACCGACCGTTCATAGAATGCACCCCAGCGAAGAAAAAGATCCGCCCCCCAATCCACCAATCGTACGAGACTTTCTCATCTTAGATATTTTCATCCAAATCCCAATCACTGCTGTACAATACCCATTGCTACTCGCCCAATATAAACAACCACGTGTACCCAAAGCGAGGGTATTCTGGTAATTCAATAAGACAGCGGAACATTAACCACTCCTTAGGAATCTGATGATATGACGTACAGATAAGCATCCAATAAAACAGCGAGTATGAAGGTTTGAACAAGGCGTGCGAGTAAGGAAACAGAAGATAGGTGTCCGAAGAAATAAAAATAGATAGTGGGGATTTGGGGTTCGACAACTTGAAAGCCACAAATTAAGAGTTCGATCGTGTCAGTGTGTGCCATCCTATCGTTTGATATTTCAACTTTTCTCCACCCAAGTTGCTCCAAATAATAATAATAAAAGTTTCTCACCCAAAAATATCTTCCCAATTGGGACCCACTCCCAAAGAAAAATATCCCAAATGCTCCAATTTTTGGATCATAAAAAAAGATTATTATTAGAAATAGTATTTTATTCTTTAAATTAAAAAAGCGTATAAATATATATTTAAAATTATAAAAATATACAAATTAAATCCCTAATGAGATTAAAGTGAAATGTACTAATAATTTAAGAGGTTTATTTGTAAATTTTTATAATTTATGAAATAAAGTAATATTTTTAATAATTTAAAGGGTCTATTTGTATACTTTTATAATTTATTGTGTCAAAATAATACTTTTTAATAATTTAAGAAATTTACATGTAAATAATCCTTATAAAAAACTCTGGTTGTGGTCATTTTTAAAGACAAATAAATAAATCATATATATTTTCTTCTACTTACAAATGTAATATTTGACTTGTTTTTATTATATTATTTTATTTTAAATATCAAAATTTAATATTTTTTTTGCCACATCTTAAATAAAATACCTTTTAAATATTTATTAAAACAAAAGTTTATAACTCCTCTTAATGGTGATGTTTGGTGTAACTTATTATAAGCTAAAAGATGATACTCACAAAACAGAAACCAAATGCACATCTTTCCCAATTTTTAAATAATCAATTTTTCTCAACTTATTTAAGTTATTTCTACCTAAAATTTGATATTTAAAATAAAAGATGATACTCAGAAAACAGATGCTATAACACATAATCTGACACACATTTTCAAATTAAAATAAACTACAATCACCCCTATAGTTTACACCAAACACCCCCAATAAGTGCCTCAAAAGCACAACAAAAGAAAGAAGGAAAAAAGAAAAAAGAGAGAGTAGAACTAGTATAATTTTTACTTATTTCATACACTTTTTATTTATTTAAAAAATATTAAAATATGTACTAAAATGTATTAAAAATTTTATAAAATTATTTTAAGATATGTAAAAAGTATATGAAATTATTAATTTTTTTTTGCATTTTTTTTATTGCTTTTTAGGGCTGTCATTAATGGTGTGTTTGGTTGAGAGATTTAAAAAATTATTTGAAAAGGAAAAAAGAAATGTAGGTGAACGTGAATAAAATATGCCAATATTTTACTTAATTTTATACACATTTTCTCTTTCTCTTTTCTTTTTTAAATTCTCTGACTAAACATAACATAATAGAACCGTTTGGTAATCTTTTCACTAATTTCAAAATAATTTTTACACAAATTTCAACATTAAATAATGTTCAAGTGGTAATTATTTGAATTTGCAAAAATTGCATACAATGTTGTATTTTATTGAACTTTTTTTAAGATATCTTTTATTATTATTATTATTATTATTTATTAGTTGCGTTTACATTAAATGTATCTTAAATTACAAAGAAAAAAAACTAAAAACAAAAAACAAAAAATCAAAAATCAATTTTAAAAACATAAATGAAAGGTGTTATATTTTTAGCTAGATTTAAGCTCTATATATTTGACCTATAAAATTTGGACCACCAATTGAAAATCAAAACCCAAGACAAGATAGGCCAATGACCCTTCACCCTTTGATTTTTTTAAAAAAGGAGTCGACGTGGCCAATTTGGGCCATACACGTAGACACTTCCACTTCCAGATATTTTCTAGATTTTTAAAAGCTTCCCATCACCGTTCGATTTGAGGCGGTTCTTGTTTCATTTCGTACGTCATCATTCAATCTCAGCCGTCCAATCATTCCTCTAAATTTATTGGAGGATACAGACACTTGGAGCTAGATATTTTTAGCTCTCAAAAATTCATAGTAAAAGGATGAGGCTCCATTAGACTTTTTGCTTCACATTCACAACAACAACAACAACTCTCTGTAATCTGGAATTGTAGAGAGAGAAACAATACAATTTAGAGAGAGAGAGATATGGGTGAAGTAGTGATGATTAGTGACGAAGGTGTGAATTTGGAAGTGATGGAAACAGAGATGATTGAGAAGAAGAAGGAAGATGGTTCGGCGACTGTGGTGAGGTGGGAGAGGTTTCTTCCGAAGATGGTTCTGAGAGTTTTGTTGGTTGAATCGGACGATTCGACTCGCCAGATTGTCGCTGCACTTCTCAGGAAATGTAGTTACAAAGGTTAGTTTTAGTTGATTCCCATTTTTTTTTTGGCATACTATGTGTTTGTGGGTTTGTTGTGTTGAGTTATTGATAGGTATTGGTTATGGGTTTGAAAATTGGAGTTTTGTATGCTTTGTTGAGGATGATGAAGGTTTTGTGAGATGGGTTTTTTGATTGTTTGACCTTTGCTCGATCTGGCATGACCAACTGTGTTTAGCTTCGATTATCAGTTTCTTCAGCTTTGATGGACAATAGGACAATGATCTGATGTGTTTGGTTCATAAAGATTTGACAAATTTTGAATTCTACAGAACTAGTAAGGAGAAAACTCATGAATTTTTTTGTTGAAAGGGCTAAACTCTACTCTATCATAAAAAAAGAGACAATCACAAAGTACCTGTCATACAAGGGGGGAAAAAAATTGTCTTTATTTGATATGATCCACTCTGATGGCCAAACTCGGATTTAAGCATAAATTTTTAGTAGAAGCTTTACTAATTGCAGAGTGGTGAATTTTGAGCAAACATTTGAGTCTCCCTTGATTTGGGTAAAAGTTTGAGTAAAACTCAATTCGGTACAAGTTTGGGTCTTGGAGTGTATTTTGAGTGATTTACCCAAAGTTAAATTTGATATAGGTTTGAGTCATGGATTGGAGATGCCCTAACTATTTGTACTAATTTCTGAGTTGTGAATTTACAGTTATATTTCAAGAAGAGTAGGTAATTTATTCATGTATGAAATGCATCAAAAGCATCTCTTAGATAATCCTTGAGATCTCTTTAGCCAAACAATAATTAATGTACAGGTTAGGTGTGCACCAACTTTCTTATTAAATTGCAATTTCAAGATTTTATTTTTTATTTTTAATGGCCATCAACAACCATCACAAAATATCAAGGGTTTTCTCAATCTTTATAGTCATTAGGTTTAACTTGTAATGCTCCTGAAAAGCTCACACAGTGTTCTCCTAGATCAGAATTACTACACTTTAATGCGTTCTACTTTTTTTGAGCAGTGTTTTCTTTCTTTATTTGTTTAGAACTGGGCCATTTATAATGATTATATATTTTGAAATAAAGATATTGTGGCACACCTAATCCTTACCTTGCTTGGTTATTATTTTTCAAAAACACTTTTCAGAAAATTCTACTTTCTTATTTTCCGTATTTTTTTGTATTTACTGATTTTTTTTAATATTTTAAGCAATTTTTTTAATTTTTAGACATATCCAACATAAAGATACCTAAAAAGTAAAAAAAAAAAAAAAATTTGAAAAAAACGTTTTAAAAATTCACTAAATACCAAAAATACAAAAAAAATACGAGAATTCAGTACATTTTTTATATTTTTATGTATTTATTAATTTTTAAAAATATTTTTCACAAAATTTTTGTACTTTTTGGATACATCTAAGTAAGGTGCATCTAAAAAAGTAAAAAAAATGTTTAAAATTTTAAAAATATTCACTAAAAACACAAAAATCAAAAAACTAAAAAACTCAATTTTCAAAAAATTTAATCCAAAAAACTCAAACCAAATACAATGAAAATTTTTTAACCATCTACTCCCAATGTAATACATGGTGACATGAACTTCCAATCGCTTGTTTCCATTTATGTGATTATTGTTACTTGTTTCAAACCCTTTTTTTGTTTTCATTTTGATTAAATTCATGTAGGCATGTCGATCTGGGAACTAATTTGGATTTATATTTTCTGTTTGGGCAGTTACTGCTGTTTCTGATGGCTTAAAGGCATGGGAGGCACTGAAAGGAAAACCCAATAGCATAGACCTTATACTGACTGAAGTTGATTTGCCATCAATCTCTGGATTCGCTCTTCTTACCTTGATAATGGAGCACGATATCTGCAAAAACATTCCCATTATAAGTACGATAACAAATGCAAACCCTTGGATGTCTACCATTGATTAAATTTCCATTTATCTGAAGATTTTAATCTATGGTAGTCTAATATTTCATTCCTGATCATGCAGTGATGTCTTGGCATGATTCAGTCAGCACGGTTTATAAATGCATGTTGAGAGGTGCTGCAGACTTTCTTGTCAAGCCTGTGCGAAAAAATGAGCTGAGGAACCTGTGGCAACATGTTTGGAGGAGACAAGCTGTATGTTTAATCCTTACTCATCTCTGGCTTACATCTTTTGATTTGTTTCCTTGGTAACTTAAAATTCAACATTCTGATCAAATCTTGGTTTTTTATGTTCTTCGATCAGTCAGCTTGTGGTGGACATGGCCCCCAAGATGACAGTGTTGCACAAGAAAAAGTTGAAGCCACAGCTGAAAACAATGCTACCAGTAATCATTCAAGTGGTTATATGGCCTGTGTTCAGAGAAATAGGGAATGCATTGAGAAAGGTAGTGACGCTCAGAGCTCTTGTACAAAGCCAGATTCAGAAGCAGAGAGAGTATACACACAAAATGTGCAGGACCTCTCACTACCCAAGTGGAGTAAATCTCCAGTGAGTGACATGGAAATACAGAATCATGAAGAATGTGTCAAATCGAGTAGGAAATTGCCGATGCAGGATTGTGAAGATAGAGGTAAAATACTTAAATTGTTTTTTGTCCATTTTGTATCTTCTTGATGTGTTTAGAAGCTCGAGTATCAGGTGGAAAACAACTGACGTTTTGTTGTGTACATTTGTTAAATTAGGATTGGTGGTGGATACCTACAAGGATGCAAATGCAATGACTCAGGGAGAGTATATAGAATTGGAAACCGAAAGTGAAAGGGAGCATGCTAATATTATCAGTGAAGTTTGTGATAACAACCGTGCACTAGTCAGCTCTGCTAGAGAAGCCATTGATTTAATTGGATCATTTGATAACTACCCAAAATGCAGTTACAGAAACTCGGGTTCAAATAATGGTACAAACATGGTTGATTCTTCACTGCTATTGGATCTTTCCTTGAGATCTCACCCAAGTGGGTCTGTAAATCAAGTTAGTGATGAAAGGAATACATTAAACCACTCTGATGCATCAGCCTTCTCTCGGTGAGTTCTGATACTTGGATTTTCTGTGGTTGTTATTTTTTATTTATTTATTTATATATATATAATAAATATTTTATTTTCTTATGTGACTTTTTTAATTAACTCAATGATCCTCAATGCCAGGTACATTAACAGGGCATTGCAACCACTGCATTCATCGGCAAGCATATGTAATCAACAGAAAGATCTTGGGAATAATTCTGACAGACAATTATCCAATCAAACCCTTAACTATAACTCCGAGAAAAATATGCTGTCTCTGGCCACTGGTCAATCTGGACAAGCTGAAGTTGATTTTCCTTGCCATCAACAGACACCGTTTCCCATTCCAGTGAAGGGTATGAGATTTGACAGTCTATGCACTGCCTATGGTTCTGTAGTGCCGCCAATATTTTGTACACAATCAAGCCTATCACCGGTGCAGAGTCCAGGTTCAGCTCGCCATCTTGAGCCATCCGTTCAAGTGAGTGCATTTCATTCATCCAATCTTGAAACCAAAAACTCTCAGCAGTTTCATGGCTTGGTTGATCAAAATGGCAACAATTTCGCAAACCAAACTGAGCACAAGCAGATGCAGAAGTTGGAATCCTCAGAGGATCAACGATATTTTTCGTCTGCCACTGATCAGAGTGCAAGTAACAGTTTCTGCAATGGCAATGTTGATCAAGTTCCAGTCATCAGGGCTGCTGCGGAGAGTGGGAATGAAGATGGTTTCCCTATTCATGATATAAACTGCCATCGATCTGTCTTGAGAGAAGCAGCTCTAAACAAATTCCGTTTGAAGCGGAAAGAAAGATGCTATGAGAAAAAGGTATATTATCGTTTTACTCTTGGTTAGAATTTTTATTTAGTGTCCTTGGTTTAGTGAAAGATATGTGAAATAACTAAGTACCTCCATTGTTGTAGATTAGATGCAACTTACCCGAATGCTACAATCTGATAATCTGAAACTTGTTCACAGGTACGGTATGAAAGCAGGAAAAAACTGGCAGAGCAGCGTCCTCGAGTGAAAGGGCAGTTCGTTCGCCAAGTGCATGCTGAACTGGCACCTCTAGAAACTGACAATCACTGTGACAATTCATTAGATTGTTAGCTAGTCTCAACTTCATTAAACAAGAGGAGCATTTGGAAGCTACTGTAGTTGAAGATGTTAGATTGGTTCAGACAGATCATCTCAAAGAGGCGATAATGGTTCACAGAAATCTGTAGGATGCTAACATCACTAGCTTGTTTGTCTGACATATATACATAATATTTTTTTTTTTTTTTTATAAATTTTTGTAGAATGGTGTTGTAATTTTTGATAGGGCATTCTCTATATTTACGAAGGGGCTGTATGAGATAATCTTTCCTCTTCTGTTAATATAAATGTGCATTCTATCCTTGTTTCATACATCAATTAGTACACAAACTCAAGTGTAACTCTTGGATTCTTTCATTAATAACTAGAGCTGGGTTTAACCAACTCATCATTTTCTTTTTTGTTCAATTTGACTGTTAACCAATGGTCTGCAGTCACTGCACATGGAGTTTTGTTAGTCACAATCACAACAACCGACGTGGTTCCTTGTCAAATAGTGTTCATTAGCAGGTTTCATTTTTAATGATTAACGAAAGACATCAAGGGAGAGAAATGTATTACGCAAAAAACAATATTACCACCCAAAAAGAACACCCCTATCCTAATTTCCCAAATCAAACTGCTCCTACCCTCCACCCTCACCCCATATACAACCCACCACAACCACCCCTGGCCTCCCCACCTACCTTTGCCAACCCCCAACCTCATCACCACCCAGTCTGTTACCCAACCACATTCCACCAACCATTGCCCCTCTCCATCTCCTTTTTCTCCTCTTCTGAAGGCCCCCATCCTACTCCTTTTTATTCCACCACCTTCATTTAGCAACAGTCTCTATTTATACGCCACTTTTCATTTTAAGGCACACCACTATTCAGGGCACACATTTAGTAATTTGATAAATACAAAATTTGCTTAATACATACCACAGTCTTTCATTTTTACCCTTACTCTCACACCTCACTCACATCTTTCATCTTCACCCTTACTCACACACCTTACCCACAATCTTTCGTTTTCCCCCTCCATTCTCTGTTTCATCGAAGACGCCAGTAGTGAAGACCTATTCTCTTTCATTCTTTGTTTCATCAAAGACTCCGGTGGAAACAACTCCACATTGGAGATACAGTAGATGAGAATTCTCATTTTGCTTAGATTTAAGGGTCTTATGTACGTTTTCCCTTGCCATGATTGTATATGAAGGTTTGATTTTGCGAACTAGTGACAGTATATGAAAGATTGATTTTGCAAACCGTTCGACACTGGTCTATCGAACATTAACCTTTTGTCCAGACTGTATCTGTTGAACAAATTCAATATGTTCGACATTTTAGTGTTGAACTTCAGTAAACTATTCAGACTTAGTTTGTCGAACAATTTCAATATGTTCGAAATTTGAGTGTCGAACAAAATTTGAATAGTTCGGCTCTGTACTTCCGAACGGACTTATCCTTCAATGTTTTCTATTTCATTTTCAGAAATGGATGACCCTTGCGTATTTCACCCACTGCCTTAGAGAGACGACATCGTGCATTAACAAATCCTATTTCTTTAAGGGTTCTTAGTTTTTGTTTTAGGATTTTTAGATTCTTTAGAGAGAAGATACGCAAGTAATGTTTGAGGTACTTGGTGTGTATTGTATTCATTATAGTCTCTTATGGTAATTTTGCAAAAGGTGTGTATCATAGTTCTTTGTCTTTTGTCCTTTGTAGTCATTTTACATCAAGTTAATATTGTAATAAAAATTAAACTAATTAATGGTGTGCCTTAAGATGAAAGGTGGTGTGTAAATAGAGGCTCCCATAGCCCCTCCCTCCCTGCCTTATGCCGCCACCCCCTCAACCTCTCCAACAGTTTTGGTAGATAGAGAGATTGTAAAGAAAGAATGGCACGCAAGAGAGAAGGAAAAATTATAAGCGGTGTTGGGTAAGGGAGGGGAGGGAAAGAGTGTTGAGGTGGTGCAATAGTGGTGCACATGCTAAGGGAAGGGGGTGGCAGGGACGCTACGAATGGGCAGGATAGGATTGTGGATATGAAGGGCTAAGTGGTGATGGGAGGTGGGGGGTGGGACTATGTGGCAATACTGACTGCCAAAGGAGGAAGTAGGCGCTAAGGTTAGGATTTCAAATCTTAGAGATGAGGGTAGAATTTGGAATAAGGTGGAGGTCTAGAAAAATTAATAATACATGAAAGGATAAATTACAAATTGAATTTTGCTTAAAATATAAATTGTTCGCTATGATTTTAGAAATTGCATCTTGCTCTCTAAATTTATAATTTCAGAATAAATGGTCTCTTTTATAAATAAATTGTCAAGTTAATTAACAATTTTTAATGATATCATAAATTTATTTCAATTTATAATTTAGATAATTTTATTATTTTATAGGAGAACAGTTAAGAATTTTATTTTTTTTAGTTAATTCTGTTAAATAAAAAATTATGACAAAAGGATATTTGTAATTTTTTAAATCATAAAAAACAATTTATATTTTAAGTAAATCTCTCAATGAGTATATTTGTAATTTATTCTAAATTAAAATTTGGAGATAGGGTCCAAAAAAAAGTAAGAATCCAAAGGATTTGACAGAAACAAAAAGCAGCACTATTAAATAAGTATGGTTACTGTTTTTTTTTTTTAATTTTATTTTAATCGTGTCCAGCTTAATTTACGCGCACCTCGATTGAATCTCAACGTCATGAAGTTAACGATCAGAAAAATTTCGAGTAACTCCAAAATATATAATATTTAACCTTCGTGAATTTTAAACCTACAACCTCTTAAATGATAAGTCTTTTAATTACGAAAACCCCTTGGGGTTGGTTACTAATTGAGACCTCATTTTTCTCCAAATCCTATTCTCCGGTTGGATTGAGTGGTTTTGTCATAAAAGGAAAAAAAATGAAATTTTTGATCACTTGTTTAAATGATTAATGAAGTGAGTAATGATAAGAAAGGCAGACAAATAGTGAAAAAGACCAATCATACCAAACTTAAGTTTTGTTTCTCATCAAAATTAATGAAATTTGATGATCTTTGCAAAAAAATTATAATACCTAAATTACCTCTCTAAAGTACAAATAAAAATAAAAATAAAAAATAAAAATACACATATATATTATTGTCCATCCAAACAAAAAGCAGAGAAACAACAGTCATTTCTTTCTTTTCTCATCTAAATGAAAAACTCCAATTATTTTCACTCTTTTCATATCTCACGATCCAACACATTACAAAAAATTAAAATTTTTGAGACTAAAATTTAGAGACAAAATTATTTTTTAGGGACCAAATAATTTTTTTGAAAAGTGTCGTTATTATATTTTTAGTAACAAAAATTAGACATTAGTGATGAATTATTATCTTTTTGGGACCAAATTTTTTGTCTGAAAAAATAAACCATTTTGAGACCAAATTATTTTGTCTCTAAAAATCTATCTATTAGTGGCATTTTCAAAATTTTGTTGCTAAAAGTCTTGTTTTTGACTTTTCGAGATGACCTTTTAACGACTATCCTCATGACGATAAAAACGGATCTCTCAATATTTTTTATAACAAAATTTTTATTTTTAAAAATTAAAATATTTAATTGTTAATACTCTATATCTTATAGTGAGAGTGCTAGTCTTGATACTTGCAAGTATACACTGCTATTTTACTTCTTGTTTGAATAGTCTTCAAACCAAGTGTCGGTGGTAGTTATTACAGTCACTTTCAAGGCTTTTTCAACCTTTTAGGACAAGAAAATAATAGGTAGATCAATTTCACCGTCCTTTTTCACCTTCAATGACTAAATGTAGGATCTATTATGTTCAAAAACAAATCTCGGTACTCACCCTTAATTTCGAGTAGGGTTACATTTATACAATGACACTCGTTATGATAATGCAAATAGGAGATAAAAATGGTGAAATTCAACCTTAACGCTGTGTTTGGTTGGGGGATTTGGGAAGGGAAATGGAAATGGAAATGGAAATGAAAGGAAAAGGAGAAAGAATTAATAGAATTCCAAATCCCAACTATGTTTGGTTGTGTTGGTTATAAAATAAAATTGATGTCCTAAAAGGTCTCCTATTTCTTTATTTATTTCTCACCCCCTTTCTTTTCTCATATATTTTTTATTATAACCAAACATAAATAGGATTACATTTCTCATTCCTTTTCCAAATCCCACCCCAAAAATCCCAACCAAACACAGCATAAGGGTTAAACAACTGAGAGATTGGCCGCTTGTTAGGGGCTTGTCTCTTTGATCTCTCAAGTTCAATTTCCCTCGCTAGCAACTCTTAGGGCCACTTCCTCCCACATGCAGAACATGGTGAAAGGGCTACGCTAGGGTGGGGACTCTTTAAGGATTTAGTTTAGTATAATCCAAAATACCTTGCATTATCATTAAAAACAAAAGAGAGTAAAATTCATCCTAACCACATTGACTGAAGATGAATTCAACAAAATGAAAGCCCAAGTATCTTTTAAAGCAAGTTGCAATCTCAGAGATAAGGACCTCTCTTTGGGTCCATGGCAAAGAAATACATATGGACCTCTCTTTGGACCCAAGGCAAAAGAAACAAGCAAAATTCAAAAAAAAAGTAAGATTTAATGAAAAATTAGTTAAAGATGATAGGTAGACAAACTTTTGTCCTGATTGATAACCCTAAACACCTGAAAAATAAAGTCTAAAAAGTTAATAATGAGCCCTTAATTCAAACTGACTTTACTTCCAAGACTAATATTCATTTGAAGATCCTAACTTGGGAGGGTCCCAAACTTTGTTGAACAAAATCATGTCATGTCTGTTAACAATGTTGTACACGTGGTGCTTGTGTAGTGGTTGGATGGTGGTGAGCACCATCCAATGGTGGAGAATGAGGGAGGTCAATCCAATCACTACAGGATCCACAAAAAGATCGAACAGCCATCATCCAGCGATAATAATTTATTAAGACAGTTTTAATACTATCATAGAAATTAAACACAAAATAAAATACCATATGTATTTTCTATATAATTTTTGTCTTACTAAACTTATTCCAACTACAAATCTCGTAACTACCACTAAATAATACCCTTTTCTTAACAAAAAAGTAAGGGTGAAATGAGATACATTAACCCAACTCGTATAATGTGTTAAACCAAAACAAGATGGGTGGAGAGAGAAAGATGGCATTCAACTACATGCACCATTTTTCTCACTCGTAGATGATCTGCTCCAATCGATAGGAAAGGCTATTGGATACACTATCACTTGGAGCACTATAAAGTAAAGCTTTAACTTTGCTTTCAATTATTCTAAAAGCTAACGATTCTCATCTGATGTTGGCTTTGCTTGACTTGGATATCCCCCCATCAAAATTAAAATCTTGTGAAACATATACTTGTAAAG